AACTTCATAATACAAGGGAAACTTCAAACCCAGAAACAATGAAATAATTTACAGTTCAATGGAACTAAAATCCAATTATTGCAGAAACAGCATTACCAATATTACTACCAATCTCTCCAAAGTCGGAAACTCAAGTAATTATTCAGCAATACAATATTTGCATCTGAATCATCCAAACAGTGGCACATCAAATAATTCTTTGGGGTCATACATCTGAATCACCCAAGTTACTGCAAACATTTTTTCTTAGAAAGTTGTTAGCATGCTTGCCCTTTTTTCTCGTGGTTCTTGCAATATGTAAACTGTTTTCATTCAAGGCTCTGTTCTTCAAACTGATCCTCACCAGCCCATCAGCATCAAGGGAAGCAGGGAGAGAGGAGGATTGTGTCAATGCACAGAAATAGAGAAACAACACAAGAATTTATGGGCCCCATGGTTAAGAGAATTTGACTGAAGTACAAAAAATTAAATAACCCAGAAGCATTAGTATACTTGGCAAATGTCGAAGCTCCAAATAAACTAACAATAATACATTCATTTATAGAACTGAAGGAAGAAATCTGAAGAAAGAAAACCATCCTCGGTGAACCAAAAAAGTGAAACAAAGAAATAGAGGATAAGAACCATCAATATACTTGGCAATGTGCACGGATGAAGAGGGTTAATAGAGATTAAGAACAAAAAAAAAAGAAAGAAAAAGAGAAATAGTGGAAGAAAAACTATACAACCTGAAAAAAAAAACCTGTCCGCCATTGATGAGTTTTCAAGCTTTTGCCTTCAATATTTTGCAAGCAAAAAAAATGAAAAAGAGAAATAGTGAAAGAAAAACTACACAACCAAAAAAAATCAATTAATTTTAGAGAAAATTCCCAATTAGTACCTTGTACTTTGGGTCTAGTGCCATTTTGGTCCCCAAACTTTAAAATGTGACAATTCAGTACCCAAACTTTCGAAACGTGACAATCCAGTACCTTCCTTTAACTAGCTGTTAACTAGCCATTAAGAGGCATTTGAAAAAGACACAGATGCCCTTCAAGTGTCATTTAATTTTGTTTATCAACCATCTAAACGTTGACAAAAAATTAACAGTCCCAAATTCTTGCCTCTTCCGTTCAAGAAAGTTGGGGTTACATTTGAGTGGGCATTCTGGTGACCCCAACTTTCTTTAGTAGAAGAGGCAAGGATTTGGGACTGTTAATTTTTTGTCAATGTTTGGATGGTTGATAAAGAAAATTAGATGACACTCGAAAGGCATTTGTGTCTTTTTCAAATGCCACTTAATGACTGGTTAACAGTAAGTTAATGACAGGTACTGGATTGTCACACTTTGAAAGTTTGGGTACCAAATTGTCACATTTTAAAGTTTGGGGACCAAAATGGCACTAGGCCCAAAGTACAGGGCAGATTATTTGCTGGACTTCATCAATTGAGCAGACTATTTATTTATCTTTTTTTTGCTGCAAACCAATTGAGAGGATTATTGAATGGACCTTTGAGTCTTTGGACTTATATTCGATTTGATCCACTAATGTACTGGACGATGAAATATTGGACCAGTCCAATCCGATGCAACAATTCAGTCCGTCCAAACCTGTCCAATTGGTTACGGTTTGGTTGGGGTCCAATCCAAACCCAGCCCATTGACAGCCCTACTTGGGACTCGGTCTCAGGATGTGTCTAGTACATATTGAAAATACACACAATGACCATGCACTTACAAGCAATGGTCTTGGATTAATTCATAAACCTCTTCAGAAAGCTGTACAGGGAACAACATTTGAATCTTGAAATCAGGTCAAAACACATATATTGGTCGGTGCTAATATGTATTCAGTATTCCCTACAAAGCCATTTAAGCAACATGATTTGATAGGAACTACTTTTATCTCTAGCTCAATCTGTGGAACCCACAACTGAAGGTGAGGGCGTCGAGAGATAAGAACTATTGTCATCAGGTTGATACTGGTATACCACATGTTGTGGTGTGGCGCCCATAATCCTAAGGTAGAAGGGCCAATATGAATTTGTGTTTGTGATGGGACATTGACCAAATGGATGGTGCTTCACATATTGTTGAATATTTTCAGCCACGGCTAATCCTTCCAGATAAACTCGAAGATTACCTCCTGGGCCTGTCATAAACTGCAAGTGAGAAGTGTTTATCTTTATTTCATCAACTGAAATAAAGAGAATTAAGAAATTGTCAAAAGGACAATAAAGATTAAAAACAGTCATCCAACACCTGCCACACATGCAAGATAATGAATCCTTCCAATAGGTGTCCCAAAAGTCCAAGGAATCCAATTTACCCACATTTTTATCTTTTTTTTTCTATTATTTTCCAATCCCTTCAAAAGAATTCATTACACAGATATACAATATGACAGTTCAGATAAAATCTCAAGCCAGGAGAGTTTTGTGGAAACTACATGTTCAAACTACCCTCCACATGTGCCAGAAGTATTACCATATAGTTGGAAGACTGTCCTTTACTATGCTGAAACCAATTATTTTCAGGGAAAAAAATAGAAAATAAATTTGCAAACAGTGCAGGAGGAAATCTCACCTAATGAATTATCTTCTGTATCCTGAAACCTGTATGTATTAGGGAAGATTGCTGTGTATGGCTAAACAATGAAAAGAGGAAGAAAATAGAAATAAATAAGGACAGAATCCAAAAACTTATGACACAAGGAATAATAGATTAATAGGATAACAAAGGACAGGAAAAGGGCTTACAAGATTATGCAAGGCTTTATAAGGAGAATCATCCAGCAACAAGGAGTTTGACTCATTGTATTAATGTATTCTCCATTTTCCCATGGAAGACGGGGATCATATTTATCCCAGAGTTTCCTTAGCTCCCTTAAGACCAAAGGCTTGTACTTGTTCTCTATAGTATTGAAACCCATTTCAGTACAGTGGAATTGGTCCTGCATGGAATTACTAAATACACAGAAAGCAACCGTAGTCTATCATGTAAATTAATCTACAATATTCAGAATTTGTGAAATCACACAGGCAACCAAAATTGGCTAATGGATTTACCAAACAATTTAGAGTTTTAGTTTGACAAAAGTTTCATTTGGTTGCAGCAATTAACAGTGTAGCAGGTCAAATACTCTATTTGATTAGTTTGGGAGGCTTTCTAGCAGCTGAGTAACAATGAGGCTGCAACAGAAACCAAGTCTACTTTTTGGTTATCATCAAACTTCTAGATTCTAATTGAAACATGTGGACCCAGGAAAAAGCTGCAGTGCACCCACGAGGAAATAGTTTCAAAAAGTTGGTATCTCATGGATGGTTTAAAAGTCAATAAGCTGGCAAATAGTTTTTGGAAGATGAACTCAGCCTTGAGCTATCAGGGACTGAACTAGGGCAATAACTTATGTGTCACATAAAGAAACTCTGAAACTCAAAATCAAATATTTTGGTCAATGAACAAAATAGCAGGTATGCCAATTCAATCACCTAAACACTTCATAAAGGATAACCAATAGTGTTGTCACTAGTACAACTCTGTACCATTTCTGATGTTCTTAAAAGGATTAATTTGAAGACTAGCTCATGCATTGACATGTATGCAGATCAATCAGTTATCACTACAATTAAGGTACTAAAACTATTGTATCCATATTGCAATCCAGTAGCAACTACCAGGGTTCATGTAGAGAGGTAAAACTTTATAAATGTAATTGGGTGGTTACTTACAACCAACTTCAGAGACTTCATAGTTAATTTAAGAAAGACAAATTCAAACCACAAAGGAAAAAGTCCATCTTAACAAATATAGGATAGTCAATATGCTAGCACAGAAAGAGAGAGTAGAAAGGGTAGAGAAAGAGGAAAGAGAAAGAAATCCCAAGGGGTCCTAGAATCACTCTAGGGTTTATAGGAATCACTCCATACAGCAAGAGAGCTCTTAAGAAATCTTCATTCATTCATTAGCTTCAGAAGGAAGATAATACATCTAATTATAGAACAACTTGTGTGGCCCGGAACACTGTTCACCATAATTAAAAGTGCCATTCTTTGTCTTGTGCATCAAGAAATACAATAGCTTTCTATTTATCTACTAATGCAAATAAACTGAGAATTGAAAGAAAAGCACTACTAAGCTATAGGAACAAGATGCTATAGCCCAAGTCCACATTGGGCTGGTCAAAATGACAAAAATACCCATACTGTCCAAATATACAAAAAAAAATCAAGAAAATTCCATATTTGATTCTTCAGCCCCTACATTATTCTCCCCTGGTTAAATAAAAACTCGTCCTCGAGTTTTGAAGAACTTGAGGATGACAAGTTGATGTACCTCAATGACAAAAGGAGTAGTAATTCCCATAACTACTTCAACATACTTGGACTATAGAGTAGATGTCACCCACAAAGCTATAAATGGATCTTGAAAGCAATGTATGTCTGAAATACTGCCTTCCATAACCTTCGTTGTTAAATAATCAATAATGTTAGCTTCTTGACCACTTACATCACCAATCAACCTATCTTGTGGTGAATCTTCCTCTTGCTTAACACTATGAACTTTCATATCCAAAATCTCAATTGCAACATTTGGAACTTTTCCCTCAATCTCTAGTTGAGAAATCTCCATCTCTATGCATCCAGATCCCCTTGGTTCTTCAGCAAAATCTTGAACTTCTGCCATTATTGATGTTGGTGGAACTTGTACTATGTTAACTTGTAATTCTTGAATTGGATCCAGTTGAACTTGTAAGGTAAAGTCATGACTTACTTCCTTGCTAACATCTGCTACAACCAACACATTTGCATCTTGCCCCACTTCTATCTCTTCTTGATCATTAACCTCAAGTTGACCATGGGTGTTGGAAGTTCCTTCTTCAACCATTCTAATCTTCTCTTGGCCTGCACTCTTTTGATCTTCAATGTTTACAACTTCTATAGGTTGATATTCTTCATTTACAACTTTATCTCTAGGATGGGCATTGACATGCAAGAAATCATCTTCTTTATCTTCAACTTTCTACTTTCTTCTCATTGGCTTCAAATTTTTTGTTGTAATCAACTACTTCTTCTCTATCTTAAGAGTCAATCCAAAGGCATGATCTAAATCATAAATCTAAATTGTAGACAATTCATTCTCGATATCATCCCTTAGTCCATTCATGAAATGAACTGATTTGTGCCTTTCACTTTCTGTAATGTCACATCTAATATATAATTCATCAAACTTATGCATATATTGAACTATAGATAGCATACCTTGCTTGAGATTAGTCAACTCCACATATAGATCATCATGGAAGTATTGTGGAATGTACTTTTTTTGCAAATACATCTTCATCTTTACCCATGTGGTAATTGGATATTCACCTCTATTTTCTAGTTGTTGCTCAAGAGTTTTCCACCATACTTCAGCAATACCTGCGAGCTTCATGCATGCAAATCTAAATCTTTGTTTTTCAAACATATCATGCCAATCGAAATATTCTTCTAATATAGAAATCCAATTAAAGAATGCTTGTCTGTCTTCATCTCCTTTGAAATTAGGCACTTCCCTTTCTCTTCTAACATTCTTGAAAACCTTACTCCTATAGCCAACATTACTAGATCTACTTTCTTCCACCAATTTCTCAAGTAAATCAGCCATAGACCCTTCATATGGTTCAAAACCCTATCATCATTTATTCTAGGCCCATGAAATTGTTTAAATGATACCCTAGGCCCATAGAATCGATCACTTTGTGAGAACATGGTGACTAACCACTAGATCTGATACCAAAACTGATACAATAGGGCTGGAACAAGCTAACACAAGACAGAAAGAAAGAGGAAGAGAGAGTAGAAAGGGTAGAGAAAGAGGAAAGAGAGAGAAATCCCAAGGAATCACTCCAAGGGGTCCTAAAATCACTCTAGGGTTTGTAGGAATCACTCCATACAACAAGAGAGCTCTTAAGCTTCATTTATTCATTAGCTTCAAAAGGAAGATAATACATCTAATTATAGAGAGACTTGTGTGGCCCGGAACACGGTTCACGATAATCACAAAAAGTGCCACTCTTTGTCTTGTGCATCAAGAAACACAATAACTTTCTATCTATTAATGCAAATAAACTGAAAATTGAAAGACAAGCACTATTAAGCTATAGGAACAAGATGCTATAGCCCAAGTCCACATTGGGCTGGTCAAAATGACAAAAATACCCATACTGTCCAAATATACAAAAAAAAAGAAAATTCCATATTTGATTCTTCAGCTCTTGCATTAGGAGTCCAAAGAAGCTCCCTTTAAGTGGCAAGATACCCCACTGATGAAGAAATCCATGGACATCTTGGACCAATCACAAACGATAGGTCCTAATTGCTTGAGCCATTGTACCCCTAGGACATCATCAACCCCACTAAAAGCTAAGGGATGCAAATCAATAGCAAACCTGTGATTCTGGATTATTAGTGGGAGATCTTTGCAAGCACCATCATAGTGGATCTGGTTGCCATTAGTTACATGGACTGCAAAGGTTGCTAACTTTTGGATCGTTATGCCCAGTCTTTTGGACAGCATCTAGGTGATGAAATTGAGTGTACTGCCATTGTCGATCAGCACAGAGATGGATTGGCCCATTAGGGATCCCACCACTCTCATGGTATGGGGCATCGAGACTCCACCATTTAAGCCGGTTAATGCATGGAAAGAAATCTCAGGTGTTTCTAGATTTTCTTCCATGCTTTCCTGCAGAGATTCAGGTGTTTCTTCTTCATTCCCTCCATCTGCAAACATCTGTTAATTCTTGCACCGATGACCGGGGCCAAATTTCTCCTCACAGTTGTAGCAAAGGCCCCCGCTCTCTTCAAGCTTGCATTTCGGCCCATGAGAGTCTTCTTATGGGTACCGCTACTGGAACAATGGTCATGGGTCGGGATTCTCCGCCCGAGGTGGGTCCTTTAATATTGGTGGTTTGGGAGGGTTGGAGCGGTTCAGACCCGTATAAGGCCGGGGCAATTGTCGGAGACGACTGAGTCGTTCCTCTTGTAGGCGTGCGAGACCCACAGCAGCAAGCATCGTGGCTGGTTGAAGGGCTTTAACTTCTATCTTAATCTCTTCCTTAAGGCCACCAATGAAGCTACCAAGGAGAGCATTCTCTAGCCACTCATGAACTCTTGTGGCGAGTCTTTCAAATTCCATTTAGTAATCCCTCACCGTCCCGGTGTGTTTGAGCTTGGAGAGAGCCTCGTCATAATTTTCAAACCCAGTACGACCGAATCTTACGCAGAGGGCTTCAGTAAAATCAAGCTAGGAGATTTGGGGGTGGGAGCATTGCAACCATTGGAACCACAGGATTGCCTTGCCTTCTAGGTGGAAGGAGGCAACTATCACTCATTGGTTGCTAGGAGTCTCATGATATTCGAAATATCATTCAGCCTTAAAAATCCAAGGTATGGGATCATCACCTGCATACTTTAGAAAGTCCAATTTCGTCACTGCTCTGTTCCCGGCTGATCCACTACGTCTTGAGGTTTCTTGTTCCTGGCTGCCGCCTTCTTGTTCTTCTTCTCTGCCATGCGTGGAAGACCCTCTTTCCAGTTGCTGCAAGACACTTTCCAGATGGTGTTTGATGTCTTGCAGATCGCTCGTCACCTTGTGCAGTTGGATTTCCACTCAGTCTACCCTATCCTCCATTGTCACCAAAAGGGTGCTTGGCATGCCTGCTCTGATACCAAATTGTTGGGTTTCTGCCCAACACAATCTCTGCTTCAAGGGAGAGAGTTCCTCCCATGGAAAGAAAGAGAGAAAGAGAGAGAAAACTGAGTTCTGAGGTAATTCTTCTTATCCCCGGTAATCCTTACAATCTCTTTTTATAGATTTCTGTTGGTTTAACAGATTGTACAGCTGGCATCTTGTTTCTTATTTCTTGTTTCTTTAGTTAGTTGGCTTCATTCCCACTTCTTGTTCTGTTGGTGGTTCAGTTGGTGGTTGCTGACATGGCTTCCTTTTCCTTCTCCTGAAATAGGTGTTTACTATCACCGGCTTGGGTGGTCTCTCTGGAGAGTTCCTAACAATTACCAATCAATTCTTATGTGCTTTTCTAGAGACTTTCTTGTCTGGTTTATATCCATCTGGAACAAAATTAACAATATCAGCAAGCAATCCATTTAGATCAAGAATAAGAAGTTTTCTCTTAAAATGACTAATTGGTGCTCTTTTTGAAGGCAATATCTCCATAGAACTTTCTTCTCTGTTGGTACCATCAACCCGAACAAGATATTCTACAACATCAACATTAGATGAAGAAGGAATTATTTGTTCCATATTGCATTCAGTTGTTGATGCCTCTAAATTTTCCTCATTGAAGATGTGATATGTTTCCATTGCCCTTTTCAATTCATTTACAGCCTTTTCATTCTCTGCCATGCATGCATTGTCTAGTTCATTGGAAGAGAGTTCTACCAAACTGTTTTGTATACCATGTATTGTGCTGTTCGGACTCTTCTCCTTGGCTTGCTCCATGTTACTGAGTGAGGAATCAAACAGGATTTTGTTCTTTCTCTGATAGCTTCGAAATTTTTTTTCTCCACTTGTAGGTTTTAAGTCTGTTCTGACTCTCGTCAGGCTTGTTGTTCTTCCCTGAATTGGTATCAGCAGTGTCTGGAAAAATGGTAAGCTTCTCTGATAGTAGATCAGTTTTTATAAGCAGTCGCTGCTCTTTCTCAAGATTCTTAGTATTAGTTAGATCCCTGCTGCATAGAGCACCATTCTCTTGAAGTGGATTATTGGCTTCTGGTGCACTAGACTTATTCTTTTCTATCCTCTTTCTCCTCTTCTGTTTTGGACATACTGCAGGATGCCTCTCTATTATTTGGACAGCTTCATTGAAGTGTCCATTGGTTGGTGATTTTAGAGTCAGATTCAAGGGTGTGCCCTCTTTCTCAGAGATCTCCAAATTCTCGTCTTGGGTTTGCTTTCCCTTCCTTTCCTTTCCTGTGTCAATCTCCATACCCTTCATCTCCTTATAAGCCACTTCATTGTTGGTAGAAGAACCCATTCTCCACAACTTCTTTCCCTTCTTTAGTTTACCCTGCTTTTGGTTTGTTCCTGCAATATTACAAAATCTATGTAATATTTTGAGTTCCATGTTAGAAAGAACACCAATTCACATCTCTTTTGTTTGGACAGGTTGTGAGAAAACAAAAACAAGAAAATACTACTGAGAAAACTAAAGCAGGTGCACCAGCATCTCAACATTTCTATAAACGGGACCATAAATACTTGCATATATATGACAACAGATTTGCTACTCGGATTATTCAGTAAAGAAGACTGAACAATTAAGGAATCTTCCATGTAAAAATTTTATTTGGGGCTCCTACTAACTCTATTAATGGGCCCAATCAATTTCCAATAGCCCTTGCCCCGTGATCAGAATAAAGCCCTTTTCTTAGGCAAGTTTAACATTTAAATATTACCTTCAACGGTCAGTATTGCTTGTGAAAAAGCACAAATAAAAGGTGGGGTACAGGGCTGATACAGATTGGAGGATTAAATAAGTGACGAATCCAGAGGGTCTCCTACTAAGTAGACAGCTTTGTTTGGCCACGTTAAGCCTCCATGTGCCAGAACTATAACAGGTCATGTAGAGAAGCTCCGTACTTGACCCAACTACTGAACCTTTGTAAGATAGAAAGAAAGAGATGGATGGAGAAGTAAAGGCTACTCTCACTGACTTTGCCTAGATGTGGCAGAAATTGCATGATAACTAGCATAAGCTATTAAGAACTCAGGGGGAGAAAGAGAAAATATCAAATAAGGAACCTAATCACTGAAATCTTTCTCGGCTCACTGCCCACAAAGTCATCAAACATCAAACCATCAACTAGTCATCCAACTAGTCAGTTCAAGGCCATACAGACTGATTCACTAACTACTGGCTGAAAAATAAAAAATTAAAGAAAAATATGGAAGAAAAAATAAAATAAGGGATAAAATGTAAAAGAATGACAACCATAAATTGTTTATAAAACACAGGAAAAGCATTTTTTTATCATCTAAAAACATAGAAAACAAATAAATGGCAAGTATAAATAAGAGCTGAGCCAGAATTTCTCTTAGATCGAAAGTAACTGACTAAATGGGGTATTGTAAGAAAACATTTATCAAAATCATACTAGATATTTCATGTTTATATCATTCACAGTATATCAAAAATGAAACACCACAAAATCAGAAAAAACACCAAAAAGTAATGGTAAATAAAAAATTAAAGGTTAAATTTTGTTTTTGGCCCATTCCATATTCCACTTAATTTCTGTACTCATCCATGCCTCCACCAATCTATATTTTTCCTTTTACTCATTTTTAACTCAAATACGACTCAAAATTTAAGATTGGATCAATGAAAAACTCATAAAGGAAAAAGTCAAATGCCTCTAAAGAAAATTTGAAAAAAAAAAGCAGAATAAAGCAATTTATACAATAGTAGAGTTATCTCCTTAAAAGGTATAATCATAAATTTGGTTAAAAGTCTAACTTCGACCTGTATGTAGAACATGAACTCTTAACTATCTAGTAGTTATAATCCTGCACGTCCAATTCAATGGAGATAATGCGAGGGATTCATTTGAAAAACTTGACGATTAAACTGATGTTAGGTTCACAGATGGGGGTGGAAATACAAAACCAACTGAAGAACCATGGAGAATGAACAAGCTACCCCCCCCCCGGCAGATAAATGTGGCAAAAGATCCATTAATCTAGATTTTCCATGTGTTGACAGCAAATAGTTAAGCAATCAACCTACAATTCCAATAAATGATAACAAAACCTTTTTGGATGGGGTGATAGTAGTTTATTGGTTGTAATCTCTTCTTAGTTATTTCTTATCACCTTTTATTGTAATCTCTTTTTCAATTTTATGAACAAATTTCTCTTACTATTAAAAAATGAAATGAAGAAAAAAACACATGGAAAAAAAGAAATAGCAGAAGTAACAAAGCTTTGGTCTCTCTTTATGCATGTAAAAACTTAACTTCAAATTCTGGTGCTCATTTACAAATAATTCATGTAAGTGCTGAGCTCAACTATCTTTAATCCCAACTATCTAGGGTCGGCTATATGAACCTATACCACCATTGTGCTCTATCAAGAGCCATATTTTCCATCAAATTACAAGTCCTTAAATATCTTTTACCACTTCAGACCACAACAATTCACCTCATTTGTGCAATCACTTGTCACCTATCCAAATGACCAAACCATCTGTCAACTCTTTCTCATCATGTCACTAACTGGAGTTACTCCTAAATCTTCACCAATGCACTCATCTGATTTTGTCCTTTATAGTCTTGCCACTCATCCATTTCCACATACTTATCTCAAACAATTCATGTTAGTGCAAACATATTAAATTGTTTGCAGGTATATGAGAAAAGGCTCACTAGTTGAGCCAAGTAGGGGAATTCCCCATACAATTTATCATATTTCTATCACATGAAGTCATGACATCACCTATCCAAGCTATCGACCAAGTAGGTGACTCTCTGGATTTGCCACCTATTCAATTTTCCAGTCTCCACTCAAAATCAGCCTGTACCCCACTTTTTATCTGTGTTTTCTGTAGGCAACGGTAGCTGCTGATTCAATATTTTAATTTCAAACTTTCCAAATTGAAGGTTTTACTCTAAGAACATGACAAGAGTTTTTCAAGATCAAATTCAGCCTATTGAGAGAGAATAACCAGAGGAACGTGTGGGACATGACGCTAAACCAATTTTCTATGAGGAAGATTTCTTGGAAACTCAACCTTTTTCACTGAACCATCTGACTACCAGATCCAATCCTATGTATTGCATACCAAAATTAAATTTCATAAAATGGCCAAGCCTGTGAGCATCTTGAAATATGCAGTAGGCTCATAAAATGTTTTGATAAACTGAAGGTGGCATTAAAGGAATAACTCTGTTAGATTTCCAGGCTGCACCCATATCCAAATTTGCCAATTTCAGGAAAATAAAAAATAAAAAAACGCTACAAAGGCATGGCTCACCAAGTCCTGGCTTAAATTAACAAACTGGGAAAGATTCACCTTTTAACACTTGACTTCATATCATATGGCACAAAACAAAAATCTGATTCACCAACACAGGAAATCAGGAGACAAAGAAGATCGAACGCAGAAAAGAATTGAACATCTAACTCATCTCTAACAACACATTGATAGATATTTCAGTACTACCAAGTAACAACCAACATGTTCCTTCTTTAATTCCCAAGATTTGGATCCAACTTTCGAACCAAAGTAATTTCTCGTAGTAAACAACGGTAAAAATAGCAACAAAAGAAATTTACGGTCGACGAAATAAGATTTAAGATGGATCCAAAAGCAGGAGAAGAGGAAAAAGAGAATATGCGGTAGACTGGTAGTCATGCGGGAGGAATTTCTGTTGTTTTTGAGGAGCGTACCTGATGTCACTGTGAGCTGTGGCTTACCCTCTCTCAGTCTCATCGTCTCACCTTACCCGAAACCGCGTAAATGCTCGTGCCGTCAAGGAATTTTATTTATTTTGGCCGTCCACCGTTGATACAGGGACACCCAAGGGCCAAGGCTGCATTATCATGTACGAGTATGTAATAAACTCGCTATGAACACGGTAATCCATCTTCATCTCCCTCTGCAGTCTACACTCCACAGACAAAACACAGATTAATAGATTATTAGTAAATAGAAACAGTCGAATGAGTCATGCTGCGGCTAAGTAACCATGACCCAAATCTTTCTCTGATCTTCACTTTTTCAGTCACGAGCTCGTCGTCACTCGTCAGTCATCCCTCTTCTCCCTTTACTCGTTCTCCCACCACCTCTCACACTTACCTACCTCACTCCGTCAATTGCTTAATAATAGATTACTATCTAAATGTAATTTCGTTTCAACCATGAATCAGTTGGCCGTCTCTTGGATATCCTGCAATTGCATCGCCCCGTATAACCTAACCATTCAATCAAGCCCCAGATTAATTAATACATGGTTTGCCATTGGATTGGCGCATCAGGACTAGCCATGTTCCTGCGAGAGAGGAGATTGATTTGAATGATATCAAATATGAGAGATTACCATTATTTTGTTACTATTGCGGGCCTATCGGCTGAGCGGGTGGAGAAGGAAAAAATCTCAAAACTTTTGTTATGATGCATCGGTACATGCACCGACTTTTTTTGCCAGACCTCTAGATTCAGGAAATACGACAAGGGTGTCTCTTTGCCTGTTCAACGTGTTAAGTCCCTTGTTCCGCCGGAGGCAACGACGAAGGGTGGCGAAAGTATAATTACTTTTGGGGTTGCTGGTGGAGAGCCGTTTGGTGGTGGCGCTGTTACGAGAACATTGATGGCAGACAATATTGATGAGGAACTTTTGGATTCCAAAAACGTTTCTTTGACGTAGGACGTGGAAAAAGAGGAAATCGGATTTAGGAGGCACATCAATAAGCACGTTAAATGAGCAATTCATAAATATTTTGACAACCGTCGAAAGTGGGTATTAATATTTTTGAAAGGTGGGGTGAGGGCATTTTAAAGGAAAGTGGTTACATCTTTCTCTACGTGGGGAATGAATTAATTCATCATTTTGTGGGTGGGGGAGAATGGTGGGAAGGAGACTTGCAAAAAAGTTTCAGACCATAGAAGTGATAGGGTGGCAAGGAGTGGATGTACTGAGAGTTCAAATTCACGGGCTTCGGTGGTTGTCCCTCTACAAATCCGAGTGGATCCATGATGATCTTAGTGTGGAATTGTAGAGGTTCGAGGTGCACCTCTACAGTTCAAGAACTCCAAGCACTCAATCGTATGATGAAGCCAGAATTTATTTTCATTTTTGAAACAAAAACATTTGTAGAAAGATGAGTAAATGTGCTTAGGAAGGTCGGCTTCCAACATTATTGTATTGTTTCATCTAAGGGGCGGGGTGGGGGTCTTTGGCTTGCATGGCAATTACACATTGATGTTGAGATCATTTTTCAAGATGATTTTATGATTGTTGGTTTGGTTAATGGTGCTCCTCCAGGGGTGGAATGGTTGTTTTCGGGTGTTTATGGAAACCCGAGAAGGTTTGGTGGTAGGGTCTTATGGGAAATGCTTGAAGGCATTGCTGGGAATTATTTAGGACCATGGATCTATTTAGGTGACTTCAATGTTATTGCCTGTGGTAACGAGAAGAGAGGAGGGAAAAAAATTATTGGTGATAGTTCTTACCAGCTTGCTGAGGTTCAAGAGAAGTGCAATTTAATTGATCTGGGCTTTTGTGGGAGAAGGTTTACTTGGACTAATGGTCGACAAGGGCTTTCCAATGTTGCATAACGGCTTGATCGGGCATTGGTTAATGTTGAATGGAGGGAGTTATTTCCCCGGGCCATGGTCTTTCATCTTCCAGCCATTCAATCTGACCAATGCCCAATTTTAGTTGATACTAAAGGGGATGTCAAGCCCAAAAAAAAATTCTTTAAATTTGAAGCTATGTGGTTGAGGGATTCAAATTGTAGAGAGGTGGTAAAGCGTGCATGGGATGAGCACTCTATTGGAGGAGATGTAGGGAGGGGTTTAAGTGGTGTCAGGAAATCTCTAATTAGATGGAACATAGCTGAATTCGGCAATATCTTCAATCATATGAGGCGTATTTGGAGTGAAATAGATTCACTTCAGCAGTTGGACCACTCCCCTCATATAGCAGGTATGTTGCAATCACTATACTTACAACTTCAAGAGCTTCAACGTAAGGAAGAGCTATTTTGGATGCAACGTTCTCGTGAGTCTTGGCTTCGCTTAGGTGATCAAAATACTCGTTACTTCCATTTGACTACAACTCAACATAGAAGATGTTCCTCCATTGATGGCCTTAAGTGGGCAGATGGCTCGTGGACTTATGATAAGAATGAGATTAGGAATATGTTTGTTGAGCATTTTAGTAATTTGTTCCAGACTTCCTCCCCAACTGTCGCTCTTGAGATTCTTGCATTACTGCAACCTATTGTCACAACTCAAGATAACGAAGACCTATGTAGACTTCCAAGCAATGATGAAATTGAGTCGGCTATCATGCAAATGAGCCATTTTAAGGCCCCTGGCCCAGATGGTTTGTTTGCTTTGTTCTTTCAAAAGCTTTGGGCTTTGGTTGGTGATGATATTATATTGTGGATTCATTGTCTCTTTAATGGCAATACACTTGACCCAGATTTCACCTAAACAAATCTAGTTCTCATTCCTAAGGTTTCCCACCCAATTTCAGTTAATGATTTTCGGCCCATCGGCCTTTGCAATGTAATTTATAAATTTTTTGTTAAATTACTTGCAAATAGGCAGCGACCACTATTGCATAAAATAATCTCACCTTGGCAAGCTGCATTTGTCCCAGGCAAGCAAATTGTTGACAATGTTTTAGTTGCCGATGAAATTATTCATTTTATTAAGAAGAAAAAAGGAAAAAATTGTGTTTTTGCTTTCAAAGTTGATATGTCTAAGGCATATGACAGGATTGAATGGGTGTTTCTTACCACAATTTTGCAAAAGTTGGGCTTTAATGAGAAGTTTGTCAAGCTTATTCACTTGTGCATTTCTACCTCCTCTTTTTCAATTCTAGTCAATGAAGAGAATTCTAACAAGTTCTATCCTCAACGGGGGTTACGTCAAGGTGATCCTTTATGTCCATATTTGGTCATTATGTGCATGAGTGCTCTATCTCTTTTGCTTTCAAAACTTGTTGAGCATAAGAAACTGTCTGGAATCAAGATTGCTCGCGGATGCCCAATAGTCTCACACATGATGTTTGCTGATGATTTAGTAATTTTTGGCAAAAACACGGTACATGAGCTTGAAAATGTAAAGAAGGCACTTCAGATTTTTGGTTGTAGTTCAGGGCAAGAAGTCAACTATGCAAAATCTGGTATTCTCATTAGTAAGAACGTGCATCACCATCTTCGTAATATGTTAGTTCGTTTCCTGAAGGTGAAAAGTATCTCACAAAGAGACAAATATTTGGGAGCCCCCCTATTTATAGGCATAAACAAGAATGAAGTTTTTTCTTCGGTGGTAAAAAGGGTCTGTGACAAACTTAATGGTTGGCGTGCACATACTCTCTCAGTTGTAGGTCGGGTTGCATTTGTGAATCATATGGTAACAGCTATTCCTACTTACTTGATGTCAGTACTTTCACTCCCCATAACAACATGTGATGACATAGAGAAGGTTATGCATCGTTTTATTTGGGGAGCTTCTGATTCGAACAATTTCTATCCGACAATTTCATGGCAAAAGATATGCTTACCGAAAGTTGCAAGTGGCTTAGGTGTGAGACGAATGAAATACTTCAATGATGCTTTGTTAGCTAAGGTTGGGTGGAGAATCTTGATTGAACAGGGTTCTATATGGGTTTCAATTTTGAAGTCAAAGCATTTTCCATTTGAAGAGTTATTGTGATCCTAAATGGCATGACTGTTGGGTGTGGAAAGGTATTTGTCGCTCAAGACATGTACTTCGTGCGGGCTGTGTGCGTCGGGTGGGTAATGGTCACTCTATAAGTATATGGGGTGATCCATGGGTCCCCTCTCAACCAAAATTCAAATTACAGATCCCACCTACCAGTGTTCCGGATGTCATTTGTAGAGTTTGTGACCTTCTAGACTCTAACCGACAATGGAGATTGGATCTTCTTCACAGATTTTTTTATTCGATTTCAATTCGAAACATCCTTAAGGTCCCTATCTCTATTAGATCAAGTGGTGATGATGGCCAGTTGTGGTTGTTAGAGCGTAAGGGTATTTTTTCTGTTAAATCTGCCTACAAAACATCTTTGCTCCATTTCAACTGATGCTTAAGACATTGCGTTTTGGATGAAGTTTTGGAAATTGAAGATTTACCCAAGGATTCTACTATTCTTATGGAAAATATTACATGGAAGACTATGCATATGAGACAAACTTTTTGGTGTTGGGCCTGAAGCGCTATGCCCTTTTGGATGTAACCACATTAAATCACTAGAGCACTTTTTTTGGGATTGTTCATTTTCAATAGCTATTTGGTTTGGGTCTTCTTTATCTTGGAGACCATATTAACTTTCAAATATAGCTATTGTTGAATGGATTTGGAATTTTGTGAATGGTTCACGAGGTCCTAATGAGGAGTGGATGTCTGATCTAATTCTTACGACTACTGTGTTGTGGAAGATCTGGGATGCTCGTAACAAATGCATTTTCCAAGGGTATTTGGCTCAACCAATGGATGTACTTCAGAGTGTATTGTTTATATGGGGAATGGAGTTTTATACAACAACCAAAATATGTGGATGTGGAAATTCAACACATTTGTAGAAGAAATGATCCAAAATGTGTCCCTACTGACGTGGATGTTATTATTTATACTAATGCTGTGGTCATGAATGAATCTAGTGTTGTTGCATGGGTGATTACTGGGGTGAATAATAGGTTCATTAGGGTAGGAGTTACTCCATCTCCTCTTAGTGATGTTGAAGGTGTAGAAGCATGTTCTATTCTATTTTCTTTATTGCATTGCTCTGCATTTCATCATCAAAAAATCTGTGTGGTGAACGATAATCTCAATGTGATCACTGCCTTACAAGGAAAATTGCTCTCTTCGTCATGGGCTGCTCAACCAATTATATCTGACATTAAGAACATTGTTGCTTGTTTTGATGATTTGCGTTTTGTTTATGTGCATAGATCTTTAAATTTAATTTCTCATACTTTAGCTATAAGGTTTAGGGGAATTCAACATGAATCTGTTTGGATTTCTCCTCCTGATGTACTCGTTGACTTTTTTAGCAATTGAAAGTTTAGTTGCAACAAAAAAAAAAAGATTAATTACTTATTCAGATTAGCGAAATTAATTAACAAATAAAAATGGGGATTGGGGTTGTCACCCATTCCATTGATCGATCCGTCATCAAAGTAGTGGGGCCAAGCACATAGAAGGTTATCGAGGTTGTGGTGGTCCCTTGCCCCGAGATCAGATATGCTCATCACTTAGGGCGCCTCACACGCAAATCCTACCATGCAATGGGAACATCTCCCACATTTTACTTTTTAAGTTATTATTCACGGGAGATGTTCCCAATGCACGGTGAATGTGTATGTGAGGCGCCCAAGTGTAAGGAGCAAATCCCGTTCCCCTTGCCCCTTGGTGGTCCTTTCTCTCTTATTGGTGTCCCACCGACTGCTATTTTGATTGCTTCGTCCAAATGGAAGAAATTGAGAATTAAGCAACAACAACTACTCTCAATGAGGCATGACCATCATATGCCGTTATGGTTCAATGAGCGAAGGTGAGAGTGAGATTGTTTCAACTTTCAAGGCATTGACGGAAGCAATACGAACCGATTCCTGAATTGGTTCCTAGGTTAGTAGTGTTAATGAAGGTTTAGAGTATCCGAAATGTTAAGTGTATTGAAAATATATCCGATTATGTCTTGGATTATATGCATGGATATGGACAAAAAATTAAGATGGGCATAGAAATACATGAAAATACTATACCATGGTCATAAATATACATCAATAACATTAAATAATAGGGCTTAAATGAGCTATATATAATGAACATAGGAAAACATAAGGGTATTCTCTAATAAGGTTATAACTACAAAATATAAGTTTAATAAATAATTATTTAATGAAACATTTTCTATAATTTTTAAACAATTACTTTATTTTTATAACAAAAATTAAAAAATAAAATGTAACATAAAAATAATTTTATGGATGTGGTAGATCATTCATAGATTTATAACATGGTAAATATTATGGTTAGATAACACCAAAAATTAGAAAAAAATAAAAATAAATAAATACTTTAAAATAAATTTTAATAGATATATGCATTAAAAATTGGAAAAAATATTTTAAAAAATACAAAAGTTTAAAAAATAAATATTTTTAGTTTTACAAAAAAAAATATTTTTTCATACTAAAATTGAAAAAAATAAATAATTTTATTAAAAAATTACAAAAAATAAAAATATGAATATTTTAGAAATTTCAATAGATCTATAGATTTGGTAGATCACCCATAGATCTATGACACAATTATTCTTCATGGGAAAATTACACCAAAAATATAAAGTTTTATTTTTTGTTACTGTTTATTTTTTCTAAATTTTCTTCAAAAAATTAAATAGATCTATTTAAAGCACAAAAAATATAGGATTTTCAACATAAGGATCCAAGCATTAAAAAACACAAAATATTGTAACATACTATCGAATAAATTAAAAAAAATGTTTATTTTTGCAATTTTTGTAAAAACTTGAAAAAACTCAAAAATATTGAGTTTTAGAGGTTGTTTTTGAATTTTTTTAAAGATTTTATAATCCAAGAATGTGTAGGGATGATTTGGTGAGTTTAAGAAAGAAAGAAGGCTTTTGGAGAGAGTTAGAAGACTTTTTTCTCAAAAAAAATTAATTTGTTTTTGCCTAAGGAAATTGTATTATTTCGATCGATACAGTTATGATACAGTTCCAATACACCCCAATATGCCCCGATACAGGTCCGATATGCCCCCATTACGGATACGATACGGGACCAGCATGATGAAAAGACACGATGTAAATGATTTTGTAGTGTTTCCTAAGCCAACCCCATAAATATACAATACGTATCGGTCGATATGGGTCGTCACGTTGTGAAATTTTGAACCTTGGTGTGAACTATGAACTGTGAACTATGAAGGTCGGCGTTGATGGTAAGGTGAGAGGTATGTGTTGTAGTTCTCTGGGATTAGATGTTTGTTTTATTTGGATGTAGGTGGAATCAACCAAAAAGGTAAAATTATTATTCTCAAAGAAAAAAATGCTAGAATCTTCCAAGATAAGGAGGGGTCTCTTACAAAAGTGAAGAAATGTATTTTAACCAGGGCTATTCACTAGTTGAAATCCTTGGCTTCTTTTGATTCCTTTTCATTTGATGAAATTTGGAGGAATTAGGCCAAAGTTGCACACCCTTTTGTTAGGAAAACCAAAGGCACAACAGTTTGGGTAACTCCTCCAGAAGGAGTTTTTAACCCTACACCCAATATTTCATCTGAATTAGATGATGAAAGTCATGTTTCATGAACAATAGTTGTATAGCGTTTTTTCAAATTATTGTAAATTTTGTTTTAAGTTTATTTAAATTATTTGTTATTTTTTAACAATGTAATTTTGTATTTTCAATTTGTAACCATATTGTATTTTTTATATTTCATTAATTTATTCCATTTTTCAATTTTCTTATTTCATTCATCCAAGTATCAAGCCATTGTATGCTTTGTAATTTGTATCATTCAAACTTAAATGAAATAAAATTCCTATTTTTCTTCCAATTTGTTTTTCCATTCTTATTTGGTTAAGTAGTTTTTTCATTTATTTGTTAGACTTCTCATTTCTTATTTTTTCAAATAGTTTCCAAAGCCCAAAGGGAAGTTAAATATTATAGTTTTACACTTTTACTTATTAAAGAAATAAAATAATCAAAATTTTCAAAAAAAAAACAAAAAAAAAACAAAATGGTAAAAAACCAGTCTGGGCCAATTTGGCCCACGCCCAAGGCCCGACCTGTGGCCCAAGCCCGATACAACACGGCATGGCACGGGTCTGCACGAGCTTAGGCTGTGGGCTGTGCTAGGCTGGCCCCCCAAGTTACCCCTGGGGAGGGCAGCACAACCCACATGGGTTGTTTTACACCTCTATGCAAGACCTTACATATTATACTAGTCGTTACACCTTATTGACATTTCTGACCAATATCGAGCTGACTACCTCACCACTCACGAAGAGGTATAATAGGAGTGAAGGGATGGGAGATCCATCATATGGATGGTCGAACCATGCAGGGTGGCTGGGCAAATTTTCAAAAATTTCTTTCTCCCATCCGGGAACCGCATTCCCTAATTTAGAAAAACTACATTTTTCAAGGTTCGTTATTGAAACAAACTAGACCAGATTTGAAACCAAAAAAGGGACAGGGATATACCTGATACGGAATAAATGTAAATAAATCCCAACGTAGGTGTTAATGCCCAAAGCGGTCACCAAAACCCGTCTCCATTGAAGATGACACAGCTTATGTTGAGGCAAGATCAACAAAGAGGTTCTTCAACAAGAACCCTAATTCTTTAGCAAGAATCATGTAGGGTGTGTGTGAGCACAACTTCAAATTGTTCCTTCTAGCAAGAAACAATATCAAAAACTATTCTTGATTAGATCAAAGAGTGGAGATCGAACTGGGTAGGGGGGCAAGAGCTGAGGGAGAAAACTGTAGAATGTTGAATTGTGTAAACTGAGGAATTCACCCCCTTATTTATAACCTTCTTTGGATCAGCTTCCTAATTCAATTAGGAGTGAGTTTCTTTATCCAAATCTGATATTTTGATCTGGACTCTTAATTGGATAAGACATATCTTATCCTATTGTTGATCCTAATTAGATT